ACTAATTACAAAATAAATTAAATAATTATATGAAAATTATCTACACATTAAAACGTACTAGTTATACTAATACGACAGATAATATGCAACAGTAGAAATAATACAACTAATTGTACAATTAAACGAGAATAATTAATAAAAAATATAATTACTTACATTTAAAATCAAATAATTATGGGAAAATTATCTATATACAATAAAACGTACCAGTTGTGCTATTACAACAGTTGATACGCATACAACAAATTATACAAATAATACGTAATTAATAATACAACATAATACACAAAATCATACGTAATAGTAACAATAATACAACTTATTATTTAAAATGATACGTAATAGTATCGATAACACAATAAATTAATTCTAAAGATTTTTACTGCATAAAATCAATTTATAAATATTAAAATTATTTAAATAAATATAAAATTTGGACTTTAAATCATAAAAATTCTAGAAAATCGAGAAAAATACAGATACTCTTTTAAAAATAATAATTAATATTTTAAAATATTAAAAAATTATTTTAACTAGTATCGAAAGTTCACGGTCATTACAACAATAAATGTCATTAAATGTATTATGGGTGTCATCATTCCTCTGCTCCTAATAGTCTTTATGACATATCGGACCACGTCAACACCATGTACCCCCAATCACTTCGCATCAAATACCGAAGTGACCTCTCCTCCACTCGTCGACCGACACCTGTAAAGCAGAGGCTTACGTGGCCGACATCCCATACTCGGCCAAAGTTACCATTCTACCATTCTACCACCAATATAAATAGGGGTATTATTTTCAATGATAAGGCAATATTTTTACCTCTACCCAGTGCTTAAGAACTACGATGTTCATTTTACTTCTCCACTCAAACAAATCATTGACTTGATCGTCGGAGGAACAAACGAGGAACCCAACTTCGCCCTCTTACAATTTGCTATTTGTGCAGGAAAGAACAACCTACTCTAGAACCGGACATTCAAAGATAACCAGACATCCAGAGGGTTAGAGGACCTCCGTCAACTTAATCGCTTCTTTCATTGACTATTTGATATCAGCCATCAACAAAACCTAACTCACATTAAGGTGGGCCCAAATGGGCCTCTGATATCCGCGGGTAGAGGGCTGGCCCGCCTTAGGCGATAATTATATTTTGATATAATTTTAGTAGCAGCTCAATTAAAATTATAACCTTCAGGTGTTCTGAGTTATAATTTAGTAGTAATTAGATATTTTCTAAACACTATTTAGTATTTTGATGAATATTTTTAGTCATTTTGATTTATTAAAAACACTCAAATTATTGTGAATCTCTTATCCTTAAGATAATTCTATCACAAATTATAAATTTATAGGATTTAGATTTTTCAGAAAGATGAAGCACAGTTTTCCTCTTTAAACTATGCATACTAATCTAGTAAAAAATTTAAAAAGAAAAAAAATAAACAAAAAGAAATAAAATTGAAAACAAACAAGGAGTTCAGGCCGACCCGCGACTCGAACCACCATGGGCTAGGTTGGATTGGGTCTGAGAGAAGTTTGGGACGGGATATCCTTTCAAGTGAAGTATTGTCTTTAATTGGGTCTGAGATGGTAACACCCTTGATGGCTTCTAGGAATGCTAGACTTCAAAACTTGGGACATTCTCTCTCGATATGAGCTCACTTAAACAGGTCTCTCCTTCTCACTAGGCAGAGAGAATAAATAAAAGAGTTCTACCCAAATTCAAGACTTCAAGACTTTATTAACAGATGCAACGCCCCCAATAACATTACTGCAACGAGAGGCCTCTCTCGAGCCCAGCCCAGTCCCCCCGACCACATGCCCGCCTCTTTCGAACCTCTCCAGAACATTGCAGAAGCAGCGTTTCCACCTATAAAACCCCTCAGCCCCGCTCCTCCTTCCCACCGACATCTGAAACAAATAACCCCCGAAAAAGATCCAGCGGCTCTCAATTCAACAAACCCTTTCCACCAATGGACGTCCGAATGTTCGGCTTCGAGAACCCCCTCCTCTCGACCCTCCACCACCTCGTCGGCGACATCCCCGACGAGGCCGAGAAATCCCGCACCACCCCGACCGGGACCTACGTGCGCGACGCCCGTGCGATGGCGTCCACCCCGGCCGACGTCAAGGAGCTGCCCACCGCGTACACCTTCGTGGTCGACATGCCCGGCGTCAGCTCGGGGGAGATCAAGGTGCAGATCGAGGACGACAACGTGCTGGTCATAAGCGGGGAGAGGAGGAGGGGGGAGGAGCAGGGGGAGAGGGAGGAAGGCAGGTACCTGCGGATGGAGAGGAGGATGGGGAAGTTCATGAGGAAGTTCTCGCTGCCGGAGAACGCTGACCTCGATAAGGTTACAGCGGAGTGCAGGGACGGGGTGCTGACCGTGACGGTGATGAAGAAGCCGCCGCCGGAGCCCAAGAAGCCCAAGACCGTCCAAGTCAAGGTCGCCTGAGCCTGAAGTTTAGTTTGTGTTCTTTTCCATGTTTTGTTATGTGTTCTGTTGCTAATGTTTGAATGTCACTCGGTGTGAGCAGTTCGATGTGCTAATGTGCTGTTAAATGCCATCGTTTTGTATGCGAATAAAGTAATGCCTTGTGTCTGATGAGCATCTGTGGGTATTACACCGGTCTTTGCTTTTGTGTGTATTTATACCCTCTGATGTTCATTTTAAGTTTGGACGATGACTAATCACATGCAACGATAAGTAAGAACTTTAATTTCTGAATTCCCACCTAACTTTGGGAGTATTGCAGGTAATAAATCCCCATGAAAAAGTTGGTGGAAATGGAGGAGTTAAATAACACGTACCTGCTTATGGAAATTGGGGAGTCATTTAACATGCACCTGGAATGCCGTTGTTGAAGGCAAAATGTTCCACTGCTCTTGCATATGTCATAGCGGTCCACTGAATACAAAGGGAATAGATGTAAAATAAACATCTTCATCATCCTATTAACAGTACGCAGGATTAAAAAAAAGCACGCAACAAGAAATTACAAAGGAGAAAAATGAAAAAGACGATGATACCATATTAACTGTAGCAGAAGCGTACAACAAAAAGAGATATGTCCGTGATGCATGATAAAAAAACATACAACAATAAACACAGAACAGGCGGAAGCGTTCATGGTTAGCGTTAACCAAAATTTCATAATTTAGACGTCACAGTCATATTCTTTTTCTTTTTCTATTATGTCTCAGGAGTGGGATGGCATTATATTGCAACATCTTTCTTAGTGGAAGGAATGGAGTCGGCTTCCGCATTCTGCAAATCTTTTTTGTAGAGGGATGAGGTAACTTCTGAATGTGTGATTCTTCAGGTGCTTCCTCAGATTTATTCGTCTCACTTTTCCTAGCAAATAGTGCAATAAAGAATCCTTCCGTTTCTTCGGTTGGATCTGTTCTTAGCAAATGTTCAGCTGAGACAGAAAGCAAGAGCCCCGGTTACTGATTAAAAGATCATGGGAATTTTCAAGATTGTTTTGACGGCTATAATTTGAAGAACTTACCACCGTTGAAGACAGGGAGGCCACGATGAGGCCACTGCGGGAAAGGAGTTGCCAGTTCAAAACCGATAGAGGTGGCAAAGGGGAGAACTGAACTGATGACGTCTTCATTTTCTGCTTGATGAATTGAACATGTGCTGTATACAACTCTCTCAACTGCGGGAACTACAACAAAGTTTCAAAGAAGAAACTGATTAGCTATCTGGAATGGTAGACGTTTGGATATTCAAATATGATTAGCTATCTGGAACAGTAGATGTTTGGATATTCAAATACTTAAGTGTGCATGATTTAGAAGAACGAAATGGTTACAAGATTGGCTAAAATCAGCAAAATAGCTACTGAAGACCCATTATCGGTTGATACATTTCTCTTTTTTTATGGGTTGGAGCCAAAAATCTGTTTATAAGCGGCCATACTTCAAAGGTTTCTTCACTGCTGCTACACATACGTGCAAAGGAAGCTTCTTGCAACTGTGCAAAAACGTCCAATTACACTGGCATTTCTCACATGATACATGATAATGAAGCTAAAAGTAACGGCTAGAGAAATGAAGTGTTCCATAGCATAATGCATCACCAGGAATGATTTGTTTCAGAAATTTTAAAAGGGATCACTTCCGGAGGTAGCATTTGGAATAGCAATAGTATGTGGATCAGTAAAATATCGTAGAACAAACAATTAGGACATGGGTTACAGGAAGCTCACTTACATGATAAGGCGTGAAGAAGAGCTTTTGTTTGGAAAGCAGCAAGATTCCTTACTCTCTGAGAATTAGCAGCATCACCGTCTTCCCCTGTTTAGTACAAGTAAGAAAAGTGACTTACAGGAGGGCGTACATACACATACTAACCATAGGCAAAAGGTTGATCACTTGAGATAGGCTACATGCTCTACTTTAAATCAGGCAAGTTCTTTGTTACAGGAGGGGCCACAAAAAACTACAACCATAGGCACGGCTGATCGTTTGAGATAGGCCATATGCTCTACTTTAAAATCAGGCAAGTTCTTCGTTTTAGAGTTTTCCAACGTGTGCATGGCTGGAAAATTGTCTCTGAGTTCCCCCCACGTGTTATGATGATGAAAAGCATATTATTGTGTCCCAACTGGCTGAGAATTCTGGCTCTTTTCATGACTCTATGAACAAAACTATCTACTAACTACTTCAAAGTGAGTCAATACTTTGCAAGCTTATCAAACAACTAATTGTGAAGTTACAAGTATTTGCTTATTAGCGTGCTACTTTTCCCAGTTGTTTATCAGTGCAAAGCATGTGATACTAATATTCACTGCGCTTGGGAAACTAGAGACAAACAGCAGGGGCAGCATATCTGATTTTTAATAATTGTGCGATAAATTTTTTTCTTGACGAGAATGTGCTTTCAAGTTTCAACAACCCCGTGAAGAACAGAAAATTTTCAACATGCCTCGGCAAAATAGAAATACTATAAAGCAGGCTCTGCCATAGAATTAAACACCTTGCCACCCTCCGCTTTTAAAATAAGTATAAGTTAGAATACTTCCTCCATCCCTCTGTGTGTGAGATATTATTCCGATTCCTTAATTATATTAAGAAAAAAAGTCATTTGCGAAGTTTTTACTTCTAAGTTGACTCCATTTAGGTGTTAACTGAATGTTGTGATTGACATTTAAGAGATAAAAAGATAAATTATTAGGAAAGGAATTTGATTTAGATTGCGAATAAAAATTCTGCAAGAATCACCTTTCTTGAATGAAGGGAGCAAATAGTCTAATCTTTCTCTGGCAATTCCAGACCCTGAGCAAGAAGGATCCAAGAGAATAGCACGGATCTGCATGCGCATTGTAATGAGAACTGTAGTATACATATTAGTAAATAAGCAATGTCAAATAATAAACTTCCCGAATTGAATATCAACATGCATGAAATATGACATTGATCCTATTTTCCATTTAAGAGAAGATTCAGCTAGTGTTGATATTAATCAACACAAACTTTAAGGATTAACCACATGGTCTCTATTCAAGAAAAACATACTGATTTAAATGGCTGACTAGGCTGGACTTTCTAAGCTTGAAAGAGCATGTTGTATAACACTGAAGATTTTGCAGGAATTTTCCAAATCAACAGAAATTTTACTGTGCATAGTGATAGCTTATGAACGCAATACATGTATGCTCGCCAATAAAATGTCACCCGGTAAGTAGTGGTTCAGTTGCAGTCAAAAGCTAGAATTCAACTCCATTCTACTCTACTCTTGCTCTTGGAACCAACTGCACAAGAAGCTGAATACTACACTAAGACAAAGAACCTCCTAGCGGTCCATCAACAAATCAGAATTAACCACCTTTCAGATAGGGCATGCTACATCTTTGTGACTTCATGTTCAATACAGCCTATGCTATCTTCATAAAAATTGTTAGTGGTTTTAGCATCTGGTGGTCTAGCTGAATATATCCACACTTTTTTTGTCTTATGTTGGAGACAGACTTTTACTTTTTCCTTGTTCAGTATAAAAACTTTCAAATTTTATCAATCACCCACACTGGTTGACATTGAAGATGACTGTTACAAAAAAATTTGAATCATTATATTCATATCATCTGATAGAACGTTAGTAGGATGCTTGGATGCAATTTTCTGCCATAACTTGCAGTAAACGCCTACAACTACAAGTACTAATATTATGTTGTACTTGGGAGAATATCTCACAGAAAAGCAAAGGGGAAAAAAGATTTACTAATATATTCTAAAATAAATCAGAAAAGAGGGATCTTACCTTTGAAAACTTGGGATCCCTGGCATCTAAATCTAAAAAATCACCTTGAAATATGTTCACATCTGTAACTCCAGTTAAGGTGAGACAATAAGTGTAAAACAACACATTTTGTTTCAGTCACAAAGTATACTCACACAATTTTTACTTGTAGGATTAGCACATTTGTGTGGGAAGTGGAATATCTAATTGAGTAGTACACTAATGATGCGCAAGCCAAAGACCTTCAGAAAGTCTTATATTTATCACAAAACAATAACAATTGTCTGAATATGGTTTCCACAACCAGCACCTATACTTGCTGGTAACTTGTGAAGTTTCTTTACGGCAACAAACCTTCATAACATATAATGAATACAGCCAACAAGGAGAAATCACATATTAATGTATTACAAGAAGGAAAAGAAAATCTATTTCTCTTAGTAATAGACTTGACACGACAGACCTCATTCCAGCAGCTTTACAGCAACATGTTACTGCCAGAAATTTAATGGTAGGCAAAAGTTTAGCGTCACAAGAACTGTCTTTCTTCTTTTTCATTAAAAACAAAGCTATATACGGACACAGAAAAGCGTCATCTGACAATCTAGCACCATTATTAATTATTTTATTCTACTAGCAGCGTCCACGATAGAAAAAATGAATAGCATAGCAAAGCATACGAGGTTAGAGTATCTAACGCTAACTCAAACAGGAGCATGTTTTCACAAAATTTGTTGACAATATCAAGGGGGGAAAACAATGAAAGGATACTAGGAGCTCCAGTCCGCCTGATAGTATCTTCTAGAAGTCTAGCCCTTTCCTTGTGAAGTTCACATGCTATAATATTTCCCATTCCTTTCATTAGTGCAGCAAGGTGAACAGTTTTATTTCCAGGAGCAGCACAGGCATCTAGAACCTTATCAAATAATCAAGAAAAACAACATATTAGGGCAAATGCTATATAAATAGTATGCACGTCCAAAAGCATCAGAGGCAACAGAAGGATGCCATCTATACTACTATATAACTAACATTATGAGGATAGTCAAAAAATGAATGAAAGGAAGACGTGCTCATTTCTACTATAACTGGGAGGGCAAAAGAGTAATTTAACAAGAGACATTTCTCTTTGTTTTCCTTCGTATTTTCTTTTTTGTTTCTAGAATATGTCATATCATACAAGCAATTTTCTCTTTCTTTTCCCTTCTCTTTCTTTTTTGTTTTCTAGAATATTCCATGGTCTATACCATACAATGCCATGAACATAGGATTTGGGGCCATATAATTGCATAACCAAAGAAATACAAATAAAAATTATAAGTTTCTTCAGGAAAAATAGTAGCATGTGTGAAAAAAGCAAAATAATGTAAAAGTATGAAATTTAAGTTTTTTTTGGAAATTATAAGTTTTGTGCATTAGGCATGTGCATTTTATTCTAAAACCTATAACCAAACTAATAGATGATAAAATCCTTATTTGTCTCTAGTCCCTATAGAATAAAAGGATAGTTTGTTCAGGTTTTATGCTCTCACATTGAAATTATTTTTGACATAAAGAAATTTACTAAAATAATTGCGTCCCTTATAGTTGAATATGCATCTCCGGCAATCTTAGCAGAGAGTAATATGGATAACGTTATCACAAGTATTTTGAGAAGGTATATTTCTAAACAGACATGATTCATCTCTACAATAAATATAAATATTAGAAATTATCTTTTAACATTTAGCAGTAGCATGGAGGTTCAAAATACTATGGGACAATTATGACCAATCTGGATGGTTTTCAATAAACAGATCAAACATGTCTGCATAAATAGCCAGGTTGAATTTTTAACAATTCATCGGCACAGATAGGTTAGTGTATACATAATGCATTAATATGTTTTCTAGAACTAGAAAAACAAGGTAGCAACGCACAAATACAATAAATATTCACCAGTTCGGTGGTTATATAAAAATACAAACCTCCCATCCTGGCTGAGGGCACAGGGCAACGGCCACCATAGAACTTGCTTTGCCCTTAGAAGGAAAGAACAAATAAATATCAATAGTGAAGTAAACAAAGAGGAGTAATCCTAAACCTGTCTGCAGATGAATCAATATCTTATGTGACATAGTGATACACATAAACACAGTTGTGATAAGGAAATGGTGCAAGAGAGCAGACTAAACCATGGTAGTCTTACTTGCACGACAACACTTCCGCTTGTAACCAAAGGATGATCATGTAAATCAGTCCCAGAGGGAAGTTTTAGTAAGTCTGGAACCATGTCATCTTTTGCAACCTATCAGTTCATATGGGTTCATTAATAAAGCTCAAAGTATCTATTTGACCAAAAACTGGCTGCAATTTAACATGCATCAAATATAGGCGTTCTACTTAAATTTTGGAATAAACCAATTGTTTAGATAAGTATAAACCATTTGACATTTCCAGTAGTTGGCCCCAGCAGAACATAAGCATTTCAATCAGTTGACCCAAGAGGTAGCCAGAAAGGAAAAAAAATGCATTTTAACGTATACAACTGATGCATTAATTTGGCACTTTAGTTTCAGTGGGACTCCAGTAAATTGTGACGTCCTTCCTGTGCCTAGGTTTCTCAAATAGAAAATGACCCATGCTTCAGAAAGTGTTTGCGATTGGTTTTAGTCTGCTCCAAATATTTGGTCAATGATTTTACTTGCTTAAAGTTGTGACCTACAATTGACCCATGAGAACTCTTTAATAATGATAATCACATATAGATTGAGAGCTTCTCATTTTCTACTTGCTTGATCAGTCTAAATTCCAAAGCTTATTGAAATTGAAATAGTAAACACTAACAGTTATATAGTGGATTTGAACAGGTAAAGTTTCAGGTGACCTTGGATGAATAATTTATAAAGAGACACCGTATATCTAGGCCCTAAGATGCACACACTCTGCAAGGGAATACATACATGACAGTTTCTTATTTTATTAGCCACAGTCTAGTACCCAAGTCGCCATGCTAGTCTTCATGTACATGGTCCCCAATTATTATTTCTGAACATTTTGATGTGTCAGCATGCAAACCATGCTAAATAATACAAAACACACCAATCTGGTATTATACGAAAAATAATTTTGTGAATCCATTCCATAAAGGGTTATTCTACTCTAAAAGATGATGTAAACAATAGTCATTTTCACTGAAAATAGATGTAATTGTATTTGTAAAGTAGGTGATAAAGTTAGGATATGGGCATATGAAAGTAATTTCTGCCTTGAGAAAAGTTTGTATGATCTACTTGGCCCCCAAAATGCATTAGTCAAGTAGTTCACAAAATTGATACAAGCCAAAATACCTTAGTGATTGATTCTAACCCATGAACTGCAGTCTCCACATCCATTTTGAGTGTATTCACACGAACATACCTAGGTTTGGAACATACTGCAAGCAATACTTAGTTAAAATAAACCATAATTAAAGCTATATTGGTAACAGAAAGTGAGATGGATATATATTATGTCAGCATCAACTATAATCACCATTAAAATTGACATCAAATGTAAACAAATATATTTAAAAAATTCAATGTTTGTAAAGAGAATGTTAGTACTACCACGGGTAAAAATACCTTAGTGATTCATTCTAGCTCATGGTAGTCAGGTCGTCTCAGATTTTATACCAAGCATTCTGTATAAATTGCTCCAACATTGGTCTATGCAAACTTGGATACAAATCCACTATAAAGGTACCGCATTCTCATAGACTCTCAGTCTTCATTAAATTCCGATAGCAAGTGACTTTAGCAAGTGACTTTTAATCATGCTTATTAATGATTAAACTTTAAATCTGCAAGCACTGAAAGGGTTACACAAGTAAATGTGAGGACTAAATATGCCGATCATAAGACTTCTATTAAAAGTCAACAAGAGATTATCATAGAAAATCAAGTTTCTCCTCTCTAAACAGTTCATATACTATGGTCCGCACTGTTACCTGGATTATCTCTACCTCAACATGACTGACACCGTGTTAGGTAGTACATGCATTAACAATACTGATAGACTTAAGAAAAACAAATCAGAGATTAAGGAAAGATAACAGATTCTTTTGGTTAGCAATATGTGCCTAAAGAACAAAACAAAGAATCACAGACATGTAAAGACACCTAGGAGTCAAACAGAAAAATAGCATGAACACTAAAGCATGCATAAGGGAGAATACAAGTGAGGGCGGAACATTCATTGCATTTCAAATGAAGATGCTAAAGAATTTTGAAGGATTTCTTTTCTCTGAATCTAGATGATTGTATCAAACGCGAGAAAATTTCAAAGTTCCTCTATTATTGTATAGGATAAAATGGTCGTTTTCCCCTTAAATTATTTTGTCTCGTAAAGTATCAATTTACCTATTTTCCCCCATAAACTATATGTATGTGCCCAATGTGATCATTTTGTGAGCATACAATCAAATATTTAACAGATTCATGATGTGATAGTTTTTTTTTTTGCATTTCTTGTAGTTTTAATCTAAAAATGATTTTTTTTTTTTAATTCATAAAAAGGGTTTCAGAGTAAAAAGTCTTGGGAGAAAGTAATTAAAAAATATTTTTTGGTTTGGAGAAAAATGGAGATAATCTGGTAAAAACCCATGAAAAAATACAAAAAAAACACTATTACGTCATTAATCTGTTAAGTATTTGACTGTAGACTCACAAAATGATCACGTTGAAACCATAAACATAGTTTGTGGGGCAAAATAGATATATTGATACTTTAGGGGACAACTTGAGAGTTTACTAATACTTTAAGGGGGAAATGATCATTTTGTCCTATTGTATACTATTAAACAGGTGTGAAGATACAATATTTCAATTACAATTGATTAGTTCCACCAGTTCAATGGACGTAACCAGCAATGTGTGATTAAATAAGACTCCATATAAAGACCAACAATGACTACAGCTGGATCAGCTTCAAAAACATCGAATTCAAGAAAACATCCAAATAGAATCAACTCAGTAGCTAAGATAATTGATATTAGGAAATACAGTAGTCTAGGCAGTTAAGCTGTATTTTGGATAAAGTAGATAAGACATTTTGTACTTTTCCAGATTTTGGAACCTGGAATCTATAATAACTGACAATACTGGACTATTGCTCAGTTTGGGTAGAAAACCCAAAAATCATAAAAGTTGTAGGAGGGGATTCTACATTTATTATATAATTCCGAATTCCATGGTAAATCCCTATGAAGCACGGACACGACACGGACACGCCAAACCCAAAAAAATAGTACATGGCAACACAGCTAGATTTTTTAATATTATTATTATATATAGATCAATATTGAATTAAATTTCTATTACATTTTTAATTGATATTAGGAAATACAGTAGTCTAGGCAGTTAAGCTGTATTTTGGATAAAGTAGATAAGACATTTTGTACTTTTCCAGATTTTGGAACCTGGAATCTATAATAACTGACAATACTGGACTATTGCTCAGTTTGGGTAGAAAACCCAAAAATCATAAAAGTTGTAGGAGGGGATTCTACATTTATTATATAATTCCGAATTCCATGGTAAATCCCTATGAAGCACGGACACGACACGGACACGCCAAACCCAAAAAAATAGTACATGGCAACACAGCTAGATTTTTTAATATTATTATTATATATAGATCAATATTGAATTAAATTTCTATTACATTTTCATATTTTTTGTTATGTATAGTGAAGATTATAAATAAGAAACTGAAGGAAAGTGTGTGTTGCAGGTGTGAATTTTTTTTATCGGGATGACAATGATCTCTTGAAGAATTGAAGACAATAATGTTAAAGAAGACGAGAAAGAGAAGATGAATATATAGAAAAATAGATCAATTTTTATGTTATATTATTATGTAATATTGGCTTGTATAATCAATGACAAATGTAAGTTATGTAACTAGTTTGAAGATAATACCAAATTTTAATTTTTATTACTTTCATCTTGAGCATATAAAAATACAAAAGAATAAAGTTCAAGTTGCAACTAGTTCCATGGCTACAAAATACTTAAGTTACTAACATTATAAAAATATAAAGTTACAACTAAAAACGTATCTTAAAATAAAGTTTTCAAGTTGAAACATCACAAAGATCATTCTATGGCTTCAACTCCTTCATCCTCCTCAAACACAACGGCCTCCATCGTGGGCTCGTCAAGAGAAAAGAGCAGCAACATCTAAAATGCTGACACCTTGAAATGAGTCGAAGGCATCTCTACCAATATCTCATATTCTTGATTCCCCTTCCATATACTCTTTCGAACTTCAAGAAAGTAAGTGAAGGTTGGTGTGAACATAAACAAGATCATATGCACGTGCCGGGATTAGCTTGTTCCTCTTTATGGAGTGAATGAAACCATACATACTCTAATTCCGTTCACAACAAGAAGAGGAACAAGGTTGGCCTAGAAGCTTTACGGGCAATTCTTGCAAATTTGGAGTATTTGGAACATAAAAAAACCACGATGCTTTGGATCCATATGTCCTCTATCAGAAAGAGAATCCATATCACTAAAATCCTTCAAAGCCCCCACAAACTTAGCATATTCCAAGTTCACCGTCCGTCGTTCATCGAGGTTAGGATAGTATCTTCTTAAGCACTTTGCTCTTTCCGTAGAGATTTCAAGATCTTGATTTGGAGCTTGCCGATTGCCGTTCTCATTGAGCCATGTGGAATGATAGTACCTATGTTCGTTAATAACATGAATTAGCCCACAATGTATTGATTAATAGAAATATTCGCATTAAAGAGTGAAATATGAAATATTACCTTGGAACTAAAGAGTGTGCCAAGCACTGAAGCAGAGTGTTACTCTTGTTCCATCGATCCTCCAAGATCTTGTGAATCACCTCATAAAAAAATAGATTCCTCGTTATCCCTTTACCCTCATGCCTATAAATAGCTTGCTTCACCTTCTCAATCATTGTATCCCACATATCATACACCAAATGAAGACATGGTGTATCGGTGTCGGTGACCCTTATCATTTTATAGATTGAGCCAGTGAAGTCAAGAATAAAATCTATCTTGTCCCACCACAAATCATCGAGGCCTTTTTCTTTCACAAATTGAGCTTTCCCAACATCATCTTTTCTATACAAGCTCTATCGATCACCATGGACCATGTCTTGGAGGGCTCTCTTGACAAGCTTAAACCTCTTCAACATAACAATCAACGAGGCAAATCTTGTGTCGGCAATCGATAGGAGCTTCATCTTAGAATAATCATTGAACATGGCAAGCCGCATAAAGTGGTTCATGATAAAAATTTTCATAAGCAATGCATCATCGAAGATCTCTGTAATCAAATGTAATTATGCATAAGCCACGACATTTGCTTCCGTGTTCTTAACCGCATAAATATTTTTGATAGCAAGATTGAGTGTATAGACTACACAAGAAGTCCAAAATATATGAGGTCAGGTGTCCTCCACAAGCCCTCCTGCAGCCTTACATACCGAAGCATTATCGGTTATGATTTGAATGATATTTTGTTGTCCTACCTCTGTGATGCACTTTTCTAGCTTCGCTTGGATAAAATATTTATTCTTGACTTCTCCCTCGGCATTAGGCATTCACGACATTCAAGAACATTAGCTTAGCCTCACATACCGCTATAAAATTGATGATGGGCTTCCTTTGTGCATCCGCCCACCCATCACTACAAATGGAGACCCTTTCTGTAGCCATGTGCCCCTGATGGGCTCCATCAATCTCTCTACGAGAGTTTTCTCACGTTATAAGATAGTGGTCCTCATGTAATTATAACCGGGAGGTTTGTAGCCAGAGATTGGATTGCTTGTGACATATGTAAAAGCCTTGGATAATATGGATTCCTTGTCAAGTTGAAGGACAATCCCCCGGTGAAGAACATTCTATCAATCAATGAAACAAATTCTTCCCTTGCTCCCATATTGAATGCTTGTTCGACGATATTAGGCCCTCTCCTCCTCTTAGATTCACTTTCATGAATCAGCATGTTTGCACTTGTACTTACAATGGTCGTACTTGCAGTGAAGATGTAGGCAAAACTGACGTCTTAGGCCTAGAAGCCCTCAACCTCGCCTCCGCTTGATCCAACGTCCTTTGAAACTCCCTTAGGTTTTCGGGTATTGACTTAGAACACATCTTAATTCCAGTCCCGCTTATCCTCAAGAGGTGATTTTTAACTCTTGAGTGTGAACCGGTAAACTCCTCTCTTCAATAATTACATCTCCATCTCCAATTTCCTCTTGTCGTTTTCCTCATTTTCTCCAATTTGGTAACATATTTTCAAAGCGGACATTTGTCATCTTGTACGTCACTGCCACTAGAACTCTCATCTTGTTCCATTTCTCTAAAGTACAATAGCAATAATAATAAATTAAAAAATTAACAATAGCAAATTAATTAATAGTAAATTAAAAAATAAAACCCTAATTAATTAACAGTAAATTAATGGATCCCTAATTAATTAACAGTAAATTAACATAAAACAGTAAATTAAAATGTAAAAAACAGTAAGAATCAGACCCACTTATTTATAATCTTTATATCTATATTCAAAGAGAGAAAGAGGGACGGATTCAGAGAGAGACGAAGAGTGAGAGAATCAGAGAGGAGGAAGAGATCGGGAGAAGAATGAGAGAGAGAGAGAGATCAGGGGAGAGAGATGAAGAATTAGAGAGAGATCGAGAGAGAGAGATATCAAGGGAGAGAGAGATCGGGGGACGACGACGAAGAATCAGAGAGAGATCGGGAGAGAAAGACTGAAGAATCATGGAGAGAGAGATCGAGAGATCGAGGGAGAGAGAGACGAAGAATCAGAGAGTGAGATCAAGAGAGAGACTGATCTAGCCGACGAGAGATCGAGGGAGAGAGGACGAGCCAACGAGGACGACGACGAGGACGAGCCGAGATTGGATTGCCGACGAGGATGACGGCAAGGACGAGCCGAGATCAGAGAGAGATCGGGATTGGGCGTTTCCCTTTTGTTCGCAAATCCCATCCGATCGGGTGAGTGAAGAAATTAGGGTTTGGGTTTGGGTTTCGGGTTTCGGGTTTTTCTTTTTTTCGCCTTATCAGCCATGTCGGGAACGAGCCAACTGTGTCGGGGCGTTGACGCGTGTCGGCGACGTTGATCGCGTGTCTCACGCGTGTCCGCGTCCGACACGCGTCGGACACGGACTCGGGGCTTGTTTCCGCGTGTCGGTGCTTCATACTAAATCCTTCATGACTTAATGTCATTTCCTTTCTTCACTCGCAATATGTAATGGCCAAACACATTGAAGATAATATAAGTGAAAATGTTAAGTTTGAGATATGAGATAAAATAACAAAACATATTTCAGGCTTAGTTTGGTTACTTTTAGAAGTAACTTCACATCTTTTGGTAATTGGACCTCATCATAAAGTGCAACTCTAAATCATGTTTGCTTACTCATAATTGAGATTCTGAATCCTTCAAATTTTGTTTCCCCAAGCTCACAACACATGGAAACATTCTTCATGCTTCATGTGCAAACTCTGTTTGGGACGTCTTAAATATAGGTTTGCATGTGAGTGTCTTGACTGTAACGTAAATTCAGTAAAAATCTTGAATTAGCAAACAGCCAGTGTTGGCATCTAACCAGTTATAGCAAAGCAAAGATAGGTTTCCTAAGCAAAATTTCCGGTTGTAAATTGCTAAGTATAGGTCATATTCGATTCGATAGTTCATTTAACGATAAATGAATAGTTTTTAGTATTTGGTTCATAAACAAATAGAATTTAATCATAGGTATATTTGATTTTATTGTTTAATGAACTATTCCTAAAAAATTGTTTACTTGTAACCTGTATTAATTACACACATGATGTTATGTTCTTGACCCACTTACATTTTTTTACTTTAGTTGTATACTAATTTTGAGAGGCTTAACAAATCCCATATCCATTTTTTAACTAAACATTCACATTACAGATTTATATATCATAACTATAAATGAATAATGATTTAAATGTTATCTTAAATATCAAATTCTTAGAATAATGAAAAAATACTTCTTTAACCAAATAAAAGTATTTACTTAATTAAATTGTTTAATATTCATAAAACATAAATTATCACTCAAACAAGTATATACTTTAACATTCGATAAGTATTTGTGAATTCTCGACAAATACTAGTATTTGAATTCGAAGAAAATCAGAGAACGATATTCGAGTTCGTGCACAAATTCAAAATTTTTAATAAATACAAATATCTCAGTATTCGATTCGTATTTGGTTCATTCCAGCCCTAGTTGTAAGTATCCACATTAAGGATGGGAGTTCCACTATAGGATCAAGAGGCAAACTAAACAATCATAAACTAAGAATTGTTTACTAGAAATATAAGTTCAAGCTCAAGAAAAACTGTTTGAATGAAGAAAATGCGGAGAACGTAAAACTTCATATGAACTTGAATCGTAGAAAGGATTTGATATGATGACACACCAGGACTATGATTCTTTAGGAGCAAGTCTTCAATATTTTTCGTCTTTTCTCTCACAAGAAGCTTTGCCAAAGCAGACTGAAGGGAGTTTTTGGAATGCATTAAGAATTTTTCTGCAGCACCTGACGTTGCAACTTCCTAAATAAAATAAAGAACACTTAAGTATGGCTTGCTTCCAACTGGAGTAGAATTCTAATGAAAAGACGCAGGACAGTTAGCTCCAAATGAAAACTGTCAAATACACAGCTATATATGTGAACAAAGTTTAAAATATGAGAACTTCAATAAATTGACAGTTCAATCACAAGTAAATACAAGGAGAATAATTTATAGATATTATAAGCAAAAGCAATCAAATAGGGGGAAGCCACTAAGCAAAGAACAGATATGAGAACAATCTCAAAAACTGTACAAGTTCATTATTTTAAGAACAATTGTGTTATGCTTTTTCCTCAGCTTAGTTAAGATCCAATTCTCTTTTTAATTAACAAGTAGCATATTTTATTACAGGATCAATCCATGTAACTCTATCCTCATTAGCAAGACTCCTTATTTTTTAAATAGTACGCTGGTGATTTCTTCTTCAAAAGGATCCATTGAATGGACCAAAAATTCCTCATGGAACAGGTACAAAAAAGCAGTGTTGAAAATAGGGCCTACACATCTATATGGCCTTCAAGCTGCTTTGATCAAGCAGGTAGCTAAGCAATTCTAGAGCTAAGCTCCAAGCTAAGTATATATGTGGGTAAATAGATCTTAACTTGCATCCATAAATGATACAGGACTAGAGGACTTAATGTCCCCAATCAGCATGTTTTGCTTCCACAAATAATAATAGCATACAACAAAACAAAATTGGTTTATGACCTTGCCTGTCTACTAAACATAATTGATGCAGATGCTGCTCAGAAAATAAATCCACGGGCATTACATAAAAAATGAGTTAGATTTAACAATCTAGGTAAAACCGTCAGACAGCAAGTGTTAAATTAAAAGTGCATCTGAATGTACAAAAAACGTCAAAATCAGCTTTGGGTGTGCTGTTGGAAAGACCTATCACTGATTTATTGATATGTGTTTGAATAGGGCTCACGTTTTTCGAAAACAATTATATCAGGAACTTCTATTACGGTCACATGGTANCCCCCCCCCCCCCCCCCCACCCCAAAAAAAAATAATAATAAAGAGAAGAAGAATATATGCTATCCATAGACCCCGAGTACTGTAATCTACATATCCAGAACAATCTGATCTTTAAGTGGAAACATCAAAGCACGCCCTAATAGTGATATGTATGCTATCCACAGACCACAAGTATATTGATGCTCAACCCTGCCTCTTATTTTCATGTGATGTGACCACAAAAGTACTAATAACATAATCCAAGTTGCCCTCGGTAGTCAAATTATCAATAATAAAAGTATAAATTTTATGTAAAGGTAAGCATGTTGATATAATCATATAATTGCAGCAGCCTGTCAGTTATTATAGAAGAAATCAGCTAGCTTGCTTACTTATGAAGTCCTTTTCATAAATGATTCTGTTGAGAAAAAGTATCAGGTAGATTAGAAACATAGCACTTCTCTCATATTAAAAGATCCTTCTGCGACGGTATAACCTTTGAGCAGTAGCGGATATTGGGAGAAATTAACGGACACTCTTCATTAAGTCTACCAGTAATGTTTACACTAACCAAGGTAAGTTTATAAATAAAACGTTCCGAGAGTTCCATCAGCTGGAAACCAATTTTGGGGAACATGGAAATTCAGAGAGTTTTATGTCGTACCTGTCCAAATAGAATGTCATATGAAGTTACATATATTAACTCCTCTTGCTTCTGCAGTAAGAAAAAACACCACTAATGAAGCACCAAGATTTAAAATTTGCACTTAGTGTATCCAAAGTTTTGTTTTGAATAAACCAGAGATAAGGCAAAACTAGGTATACGTTATTTTCACCTTCCACTTGCTGTTCAATACACTGCTTGCGGCTAAAATTTGCTTGAGAATTGGAAGATCTGCAGAGAAAGAATGGGGAATGAGAACTTTCTTAAGAAATCAAGGTACAGAGTGTTGTGTTTTGTCGTAAAAAATAAACATGATCATAAAATTAAAACTTTTTCCGGGATGTTAGATCAGCGTTATCCAAGCAACGAACTCCCTCGATGGTGAAGGAACTGCAAAAACCATTGGGTCCTAATAGTGCATGAGTAGTAGGGACACTGACCATGAAGACATCTATTTCATACAATTCAAGAGTGGAAATGAACAGTGTGGGTGCAAGAGCTTTATGGCAGAGAAAAAGAGGAGAGAGGGCATGCTTTTCCCTTCAAATTTTCTCTTAGTGATATTGGTCCTTAATTCTTGGCCGAATATGGTCATGTACTAATAGACACACTTGATGGTCATACATGTCAGCCTCTTAAAACTAGGGGTGGGCAACGGGACGAGCTGGCTCGCGGGCCGCGCGGGCTCAGTGGCCCACGTCCTGCAGCAAGACAAGCATGCCGCATTGTATCGCTTGTTCGCGGGCTTTGACCTCATTTCTTTTATTTTATTAGTATCCTCTTTATTGGATGGGGATTGGAACGTATACATGAAAAATTCAATATGCAATTAACCAGCCCGCTTGTGGGACAAGATTAACCGAAGCGAGCCATGACACGTGTCGGCCCGCCCAACCCACCATGTTTTATTTTTTATTTTTTTGGATTTTGTAAATGGTTTTTAGTTTTTTAAATAGTTTTTAAGCATTGTTTAGCACTTAAAAATTATATGTAATTAACTAACACATTGTTTAGCACTTAAAAATTATATGTAATTAACTAACAATGCAACCATTATAGAAATAAAAAATAATTTTATTAAGTAAAATTGTATATTATATGTAATTAACTAACAATGCAACCATTATAGAAATAAAAAATAATTTTATTAAGTAAAATTGTATATTCGTATAGAATGACAAAGAGAAACATCGCACACACAAAGATTTTACGGGATTCAAAGCAAGTCCTACTCCACGGGCAATAACTAATTGCTCCACTAGTTATAAATATAAGAATAAATTACAACAAACTTTAAGCAAATAAAAATAGAAAAATATGTCAAACTTGTAATAAAGTTCAATCTTCTTTATTCTTTTTGTCTTCTTGCTCAAAGAAAGCCGCACTTCCTCCTTGTAGTTGTTCTTCTGCGCCACTGTAGAGGCAGGAGGAGTTGGAATATCTTTAGCTATTACAGAAGGTATAGGATAATTGTGTGACTCCCCTTTCCTCCTCCATGCTAGTACAAAATGATTCCCAAGAACCCTCAACAATTATTTCTGAACGCTCCAAAATACATGAAGCTCTTTTACACTTGTATTAGATGTCTGCTTCTTTTTGGTTCTTGAAATCAATTGACATCCAGTTTGATTTTTTTCATAGCAGAGCCGGATGAGGATGGGGTTCTTGTTGAACCTTCTAAATCTCCCAATTCTTGGTTTGGGAACAAAACATCTTCATATATTGAAAACATACTCTCTAATGTATTGTTAATATCTTTTGTTACAGTATCAACATCTCACTGATAACCCATGTTCTCGTAGAAAATTTTGATTATCTCCTTAAATTATCAACCTTTATCCTGGGATCCATCACTACAGCTAAATAGAAAAGGTAAGACATTCTTCAAAGTATTTAGAAAATTTACGCTATATTTCTTTTATTGTGTCAGAAAGATACGGGTTATCTCTATGCTCTACAAACAACCAAGCAATATTGTTGAGATGATAAAGAACTAAACGAACAATAGTGTACTACACACCGGATAGGGTTCTGGTGCGGCCTCAAGTTTCTCTAAGAATTCACAAAAAAAAATCATAAAGTTCTCATTTATGATCATCAATGAAAACATCTGATATATTCTCACGTGCAATAAAGGAATCTACTGCTGCACAGTAAGGGAGGGCCTTCTTAAGTATGTAATATGAGGAGTTTCACCTGGTCTTGATATCAAGTGGAAGAATTTTTCTTTTCAAACCGAAATCTACACAACAATCTCTAAAGAAATTCTTTCTAGGACCACTACTCATGCAAAGAATAAGCTTATGCAAATGCACATTTAAAAATTTCATTCCGTCTTGCATGCATAGCTTGATAATATAGCATACGCAACGAATATGAAAAAGTTTGCACACGGCTTGAGAGTTATGAGGATACTCAAATCTTTTGAACGATAAAATTCTTTTCTACAGATCCTAATTTTCATCAATAAAGTAAGCCATGACACACATCTAGTGATTATGATTGAGTGGTTCCCACACATTGAATGTCAAAGCTATCTTTGTGGTTACAACTGATAGAGTACTCTGCATGAAAGATCTTCTCTACAACCCAAGATATGTTCTACACTTCTTGTGATTGTTTTCCTGCTAATTTTTTTATACTAGGAGCAAAAAGTAGTTCTAATATTTTTTAAAAAAAATCATTTTTCAAGTATGGAAAAAGGAATCTCAGATTGAACAATAAATCGTGTTAAATTTTCCTTAGCAATGTCCGGTTTATACCTGAATGTAAAAAGCCTACGTGTACCTGTGATGATCTGTGATTGGTTTACAGATTTGTCATCCAAATCCTTATGTTTGTTCTCAAGACGCCTCGTCAAGGTACCAGGACCACAATGCTTCGGGTATTTGTAGACCTTTTTGCAAAGGTTGCAATGAGCCGTCCTTTTATTTTCGTCATTGGGATCTTCAATAAGAGTAAAGTGTTACCACACTTTGGAGGTTTCTCTATTTGATTTTTTCTTCCTCTTAGCAGGATTAGAGGATGGTTCCGCATCTGGTTGAACTTCCACGATTTATTTTTTCCAGTTATGTTTCTGGAACTTCTGTGTCTTGAGCTTGTTGACTATTGCGATGTTGAGGAGGGAGAGATGGAGGATAAGTAATGGAATGTCTAGCTGGAACAGAAGGAGCTGGCAACAGAGCAGTTAATTGTTGTCACTTCATTGGAGAAAGGGGAAGAGAATGTCTAGCAGTACGGACAACAAAGGCGGTGGTGGTGGTATACGCTGGATAGATAAAATGAATTGTACCAGTTAGTCTACAACATAGTCGCCAACGATAGCAAAGGTGTAGTGAAAGGATGTACTGCTACCACCGACATCAAAAGAATAGAACTGTGAAGAGGATGAGTTGTAGTTATAGTGATCCATTTGGAGGAGTATGGGAACTAATTGAGTATGCGAGAGAAGGGGAAAAATTATTGCAGTTAGTTGTAACGAATGACCAGGGATTTTGATAGCATTATAACGAATGACAAGGGATTTTGATAGCATTATAGAGAAACAGTTTTTTTTGGGGGGGTTAATCTGTGCAAATCTCAGGCAATACAAAAAGTTAGATTACACACAAAACAAGAAAAAACAGTGAAAAACAAGAAAAAACAGTGAAGATTTCCTTTACAACAAACTAAACAGTGAAAATTCCTTTTACATCACAATTTTCCCATTAAAAGGAATTCTTTCTACACACTGAACGAGGGAGAACAGGGAAAATCCCCTTTCCACCAAATTTCTCCTGTTAGGAGAGATTTCCAATAAAGAATCTCCCCTCAAGCCACAAAAGCTGCCTTTTGTGGCATTTGGGGGGGGGAGGGGGATTCCCTCTTGGAATCTCCCTCAAACATCAAGGGCCAAGAGCCTAAGTTAGCCTCTATAATTGAGGGGTTTTTTTCGCAAGATTGAAGGGGAAAAAAAAAGAAAGGATTTTAAAGGATAAAAATAAAAAGATTTTTTTTGTCGAGAAATTGCCCCCATCAAGTAGCGAAGCAGGTACCTACTTAACTCAAAGATAGAATCATAGAAATGGGTGGACTGCAAACATAATTCAATCCAATCATTTGTTTCTTGAATTAGTTTTATTGGGGGAAAATGTCTAAGGCATGAATTTTTCATGAAAGGTTCCGAAAATTAGATAAGTTATAAAATAAATTATCTCTACTGTATTCTTTGAGATTTAGTTAGATATGGTTTTTAGAAGATATGATTTTCAGAATGTTTATGATTGTTTTCAAAGAAACTATCCTCATGAACAGTAATTTCTTGAAATAAAAGATAAGAAATGATAAAGATCTAATAAAGTAAATATATCATAAGATGTAGTTATAAAAATTTTGAATAAATATTGTGCATTGTTTGAATGGATTTTACAAAAATATCTTGTCTTGCTACTCTAGCAGTACATATATTACAATCAGGTGTAAAATTGATAATTTATTAATTTTCTTTATTATTTAATAAATAAAATCAATTGAAAAGGTTATAGAGATAATTGAGGGTAAATTACGCTAAACCCCCATGAAGTTTAAGCGTTTTGCATTAAAACCCATGAACTTTTAAAACCACACTAAACCCTCAATAACTTTTTCGAATTGTAGAAAACTCCTAATAACTTTTCGAGTTTTATAGATAACCCCCATAAATTAGAACAAAAAACCCCCAAAATAAAAGGTATTTTGAAAGTCATTTGGGGGCTAGTGTAATTTACCCAAAATATGTTGTGGGTTTTCTAACAAAAGTTATTAGGGGTTTATTGTGAATTTGAAGTACACGGGGGTTTAACTACAACTACAAATTCATGGGAGTATAGAGTAATTTACCCTAATTGATAATATCTTCTTTTCGATTGCCATGAAACAAAAATAATTGTCACTTTTGCGGTGGAAATTTTTCAAGAAATGAGCGTGCAGAAATCATGCGAACGCCTCAAAAGACCGCTTTAGGTAACGGGGCCATTGTAGACATCCTCTTGGACCCAGCTGTCAGCTCTTCTGTGCTCTTGCGGTGATTCAATGATTGTATAGGCAAAAGGTCCAAGAGATGAAGGGGAAAAAATTGTATGCGAGCCAACAGGATGGGTTCAACGGGCCAACCTGTATACATTTAGTCCCAACTCGCTCGTTTGGCTCTGTGGGCCAAGCAAGCTGCTGGCCAGCTTGTTACTAGAAGCCAACCCAGCCCGATCCCACGGCCCGCTATTATAGTGGGCCAAATCTGTCTCGCCTCGCATCAAGCAGAGTCGTGTCGAGATCAAACGCAGGGTGTGCGAGCGGGCTTATGGGCCGACCCCGCCCAATGCTTACCCCTACTTAAAACCCAAGTAAATGGATTCAGTAAACACATCAGGTCAGCGATTTCCTCCCTACAAATCTGAGACGGAACTGAAAGCTTAAATTTCATTAAAAACTAATCTAAGAAAAGCTAGACATTCAAACAAAAATAACAAACTTGGATTGGACCTTGCACGCACTACGTCCCCCAACATGTACTGATGTACAATGCATGCATGCCATACCTCCATGCCTAGACAACATGCATATGTGGGTTTCTTATTAAGTCAAATAAACATATCTATACGAGAGTTGGAAGGAATAGAATTTAAATGCTATGCTACTCGTCCCTCGTCCAATGCAGATCCAAAAGAACATGTAAAAGATCAAGAGAGTGTTTTAACCTTCGCGAACTAGCCCCTCCCCCCCCCCCCCCCCAACTAAAACTACGAATAATCCGACTAGGGCGGCAACTTGAATTAGAGTGTATGTAAGTTTGGTTCTTTCCAGTTTCAATATATCTCTACACCATCACATCACATGCTTGATTGATCCAGCCTTTAAAAAGTTATTACTAAATACTGAAAGTATTTACTTAAACTTGCCCCTTTAAAAAAAGATTCACCAGTTAATCTATGAGAGGAACTTGTAAACCTACCAAATAACTCTACCTCCTAATAAAAAAAAATCAAAGATCTCGAATAATTTCGAGAAAAATGAAAGAAAGAGAGAGAGATGAGAAAGAGTTACATTTTAGGGTTTGGCAAACGAGGGCGAAGGTGGCCTTCTTGTTCGAACGGAGGGGCCGCTAGACGATGGATTGATGGGAGGCGGAGGCCGCGGGCGGTCGGCCGCGCCCTGCCAGCACTTTCTCGCCGCCGCCTCCCTGCGAGCGAAGTACGCCGATCGCTCCGCCGCGTTTTTGCTGCTCATTCGTTTGTTGGGCGCCATTGGAGGACTAATTTCGGTCGGCAAGAGCGCGAACTTGGGCGGAGGCTGGGGTTTTGTAGAACCCTAGTGGGCCAAAGACAGTTTTGGGCTTGGAAATACTCAGAAAGATAATCCACCTCCTTCTATTGCTTTCTCTCTTTGCTTTCTTCTATGGGATTGTTCAGTTCTCACATTTGTCCCAAATGGGCCAATTCTGACTGCACTTTAAGGGGGGACAAATTTTCAAAACCATCCCATTTTGAAATTTATTTATAAAAAACGACCCCTTTTAGCCTTAATTGCAAAAACCGACCCAGTTAGTTGAAACTGGGTCGGTTTTTGAAAAAATTTTTTCAAACTTCACGGGAGTTGAACTCCCGTGAAGTTTTGTTATGAGAAAAAACTTCACGGGAGTTGAACTCCCGTGAAGCTTGGAATTTTTTTTTTCAAAAACCGACCCAGTTTCAACAAACTGGGTCGGTTTTTGCAATTAAGGCTAAAAGGGGTCGTTTTTTATAAATAAATTTCAAAATTGGATGGTTTTGAAAATTTGTCCCTTTAAGGGGCTGTTTGTTTGCTGGTTTGTATAAGGGAGGAAGGGGAAAGCCCGTCAAAATGTCAGTTTTGACGGGCTTTCTTATAAAAACGTCTCTTTTAAAGACGTTTTTACAAGAAAACCTGTCAAAACTGACATTTTTGACAGATTTTCAACCCATTTCCCCCATAAAAGAGGCAACCAAACACGTCCTAAGACACACTAAATTTAAGAAATTCCCCCTACCTTCGGACGATTATCAAATAACTCCAGCGAACTGTCAAATGTCACAAAACGGCCCTTAAGGGGTTGTTTGTTCGGATGGAAATGAAGTTGCAAATGTAAATAGAGCAATTAACTTTTATAGGCAATTGTTTAATTTATAATTTTGTAATTAGATAAGGTAAATAGAATTGCATTTGGGTTGATTGGTTGGATGGAAAATGAGATGCGAACGTAAACAGAGCAATCAGATTTGTAGATACACTGCTTGGTTATCAACTTTGTAATTAGGAAAGGTAAACTTGAAACAAATGCTATGGTTAGTTTTATGGGAGGAAAACTTGCACACTTAAAAAAAGGAGTTAAAAATAAAAAAAATTCCATCTCATCAAAAAAAATCTTTTTGAATCAAAGTAAGAGAACCACCTACACCTAAGTATTCTTTTATTGCAAAGTTTTGTAGCTTTTACCTAATTAATTTACAACCAAACACTAAACTTATATTTGGGAATACATATTTTATAATATAATTGCAGATATCCCAACATCGAATTTGAAGTTGACTTCATGCAACAAATGTTGCAGCAACATTTGTTGCCTAACAACTACTGCAATTTATATTTGTAGCAAACCAAACTGCCCCTTTCTATAAAAAAAACTCACAACAAATGCTACAACCAATTTGGTAGGAGGAAAAGTTGCATTCTAAAAAAAGAATTAATAAATTAAAATAATTACACCTCATCAAAAAATCTTTTTAAACCTATGCATGATAAACTTCTACATTAAAGTTTTGTTATATAGCAAAATTTATAGCTTTTGTTTAATTATTTTTCAGCTAAACTCTAAAGTTACATTTAGAAATATATTTCCTAGAATATAATTGCATATATCCAAACACCAAATTTGAAGTTTTTTTATGCAACAAATGATGCATGGAACACTTGCTATAGTTTATTTTTGCAGCAAACCAAAAAACTCGAGATTCTTCCCAAGGTACAAGTGCGATTTTCATATGAGCAAGTAGAGATAAAATTTTGCAGGAGAATGATTTTGACGGTAAAAATTATGGCTTATTCTTCTAGAGAGTTCCAAAAACCGTTGAAAGTTGAAGATTTAAGGGGTGTTCTGATAACCCCTAAATTTAACAGAGTTACGGGATATCAACTACCTATATGACTAAAGGCAAATCTTAAGTATTAATATTCATGTTACAGTTCTTCCAGCGTGTATAGAGAAATCTGACAGCCCAAATAATTCTTTCGGTGCTCAAAATACAGTGGAAAACTAGTCCCAACTTAAGAGAGTTACACGCTATCAACTACCTATATGACTAAACGCAAATCTTAAGTCATATATCACACTCACATTTAATGTGGTTGTTCGAGTTGCCCTCTCCTCCAAATACAGTACTCATTTTGAATTGTGAACTTGAATTTCAAAAAAAAATTGCCCCTTTCTGCACCTGAGTATCATCCAAATATGTATTAAAAAATTAGAAAAATTATTTAAAATAGTTTTTCTCATGTCAAAGTATAAGGAAACACATTCACAAAAATGACTCATTTCACATTCACTAAAATCACACTGTTTTTTTCTTAACTAGAGAAGAAGAGGGTGTTACGCGCAACGAAAATTTCGGCAGCACCTCGGCGGAACAACAAGAGAGTCAGGTCACAATAGGAATTCTTGTTTCACCAAGGAAATAAGAACCTTAAGCAAAATATCTTAACAAAGTGGGATATCAACTCTTCCTCTCATCAGTTCTAGGACTGACCTGTCGAGGGTACCTAAATAAGGTATTACAAATCACACAACCAGCGAGACAACTAATTTTACGTGGTTCGTTAATTTGCCTACGTCCACGGGGAGAGGATGGGGAGATTTTACTAAATTAAGGAGAGTACAAAGGGTTACAATCTCACAAAACTCACAAACTAACTCTCAACCAAAGCTCTGAACTTGCTCACAATATCTCCCTCTCACAATGCTCAAAAGTCTCTCTAATCTCTGATTATAACTCTCCTCTTTTTGATTGATCCTAATCTTCCATATATATAGAAAACCTAAAATCAAAACAGGCTAGGAATCCTAAAACTAAAAACAAAACAAATTAGGAATCCTAATAACCTGTTACCAAAACAGATTAGGAATCCTAATAACCTCATGTTACCAAAATAGATTAGGAATTCTAATAACCTCATGTTACCAAAATAGATTACGAACCTGCTATCCAATAATTCTCCACCTCGGTGAAGTATTCCCAAAACTAAGCCGACACCAACATGAGCACCAATATGTCATCTTACCAAATTCGGTTACACCAATGTGGTTGCCTACATACCCCCTCTCCCAAGGAATCAAACCACCCGTAGTTCATCCAAATGGCCGTCAACGGCCTCAACAATCACGAATGTGCAACAAGCTTCTATAATGATCAAACTTGTTGCTCGGAACTACCTTAGCGAGCATATCCGTCGGATTATCATTCGTGTGGACTTTCACAATCTCCACATCGCCATCTTCAAGAACATCTCGAACGAAGTGATAACGAACATCAATGTGCTTCTTCCTCGCATGAAAAACCTGATTCTTAACCAAATAGATAGCACTCATACTATCATAATGAATAGTAACGGACCGCGGTGATATACCAAATTTCTCCAAAAGTCCTCGAAGCCAAATAGCCTCCTTCACAGCCTCCGTAACTGTCATATACTCTGTCTCTGTCGTAGACAAAGCCACCGTAGACTGTAAGGTGTATCTCCAACATACCGACATACGGGTCAAAGTGAACACATACCTGTTTGGTGGAAAATTTGAAGTAAAAAAGACAATAAAGGAAAATTGATTTGTATTCCTTTAATTTCAGTTACAATTGGATTTCCTGATTACAAAAGAGAAGAGAATGATCTGGATTCTCCCCTTTGTTTAATTCTGGGTTCTTCACGGTGGCGATGAGATGCCTCCCTCGAATGCTCGCGTCGAGTTTGCTTCTCGTTGACGATCTGATGTCTTGTTTCACTGGAATGTGATCTTCTCCTCACGATTTGACGTTGTGGAGAACTTGCGTGGCAAGTTTGAAACTCTGGATGAGTTGATAACTCTGAATGAGTTGGAAACTCTTGAAAAAGAGTTGATTTGAACCGAGAATCGGTTCTCAAGCCAAGGATGAAGAAGCTCTTGTTGCAGATCTCCCAAGCTCCAACCGAAGGATGAAGGATCCTCTTTTCGCTACCAAGAAGTTCCAACCGACCGCCTCGAAAGATCCAGCCCTGATCTGATTATCAAAAATCCGATCCTTAACTCTGTTGAGTTTGTTGTTATTTATAGGGGATTAAGGGGTGTAACCACCTCCTTAATTCGCTCCTAAGTGGGGCTAATGGGATGTAACCGCTCCTTAAATCACTCCTGAGTGGAGTTGTGATCCCCTCAGATCGTGGGAAACGGTTTTGAAACCGGGTATAGAGATGCGTTGAGCAGCGGTATAGAGCTGCATTGGGCAGCGGTTGGAGCTGCGTTGAGCTGCGCTCGTGGCTATGAACGCGATTCGTCTTGATGCTGGTGTGCGGGGAGGACTTCCGCAGTTTGATTTGAAGAGACCGTCGATTTGTAGTCTCTTTCTATCGAAGTTTTGCAAAGATCGTCATTTTGTAATCTTTACTTTAGCTCTTTGATATGCAAGAGTCGTCAGATTGTAACTCTCGATGTTGATTGTGAAGGCTGTTGATTAGAGCTTTCATCAGTTGTTGCGAAGGTCGTCAGATTGTAATCTTCATTAATCCATGTGAAAGTCTTCAAATTGTAGCCTTCTGGAAGTCGTCAGATTGTAACTTCCATCATCGGTGTTTGATAGGGATCAACTATCTATTGTGATTTTTAGACAGCCTACAGAACCCCCTCCAAAGTTTTTGAAAGTTCGCGGTTGACTGGGACGAATTTTCGGAATACTTTGGATCTCAACTCTGGTCTTGGAGCTGTTGATTCCTTGTGGTAAAGGATTTGTTCTCTGCACTTGCTTCGAAGGCATCATGGTTGAAGGGATTTGCCACGTAGGACCTGTGTGAAGGTATGCGCCATAATCCTGCTTCTGGAATGTGGGGGTGGACCCTGCATTTTGAACTTGAGATGCGGGTCTCACCCTTGCATGTTGAATTTGGAACACGGGTGTGACCTCGGCGTTCGGTTTTTGTATCGCGGGTCTGACCTCAACGTTTTGACTTAAGACATGGAAGTGTCTTCCGTGCATTTTTGACTAAGTCTTTGAGACTTGTCTTTGGCTCATCTGTTTTAAGTCTCGGCTCACATCCATTAAGCTGATGGACCTGCAAACGTGCATAGGATTTTTGGCAAACCCTCAGCCATCAACGGATTTGATAAGCCTTTACCGACTATCGTTTGAGTCGGGCTAGCATGTAAATTATTTGAA